CATGTACACTCAAATTAGCATTATTTCAGCTGTAAAGATAATTTGATTTCTTGTCTGTATATGTTTCTATGCACCAACAGCTCCTAATTTTGAGCATATTTTATTATTATCACACCTTTTCTGCACCAAGATCTTTAATGAAAATACTACACAGTTGACAAAGACACTCTTAGAAACACAAACACTTTTAGAAACCCATTGCAAGCCTGTTCCCATTTCAACACAGTCCACTATCACCTGCTGTTTTTCTGAATTATCTGTTATAAGATACCTGCCACATAAATATGAAAGGATAAGACTTCACATGTTTCTGCAAAACAGAAAAATTATCAAATACAAGCTACCTAGCACAATCTCCTCTTGTTAAGCTATTTAACTCCATGTTACTAAGGATTCTGTTTTGCAGAACCCTTTCTGAGCCGGTCATTCTTATGCCCAAATGGTACCAAATTAATGGCAATGTTTCAGATTATTTCCTTTGTCTTTTTCTAAATAGAAGTGTTATATTTTCTGCCTTTCATGTCACAGTTACTCTCAGAGGTTTACCTCAGAATAGCTGTAATTAAATCTCCATGCCAATGGATGAGGAGTTTGTCAGCCTGACCTCTCAGCGTCTTCATCTCCTGAGCTAGTGACACCCTGATTTCTACTGCTACTTCAAATGGAATTACCTTCACTTAAGGTTTCCAGATTATTTTCCCCATCCTGATCTCACCATTTTTACTGTCCAAGCCATTATGCCACAGAAGGACAGTGGCCAAGAGAAGACATGTTTTAATTCATTTATGCATAATATCAGTGGCATATGCAAGGCTGTTTCTGTGAGCCTCTCCCCGTGTGTGGGGCTGAGCAAACAAATCGGTTGTAATGTGACTGTGTAGGCCAGTCCAGCCATAACCTTACTTGGTTTCTGACATGTCCACTAATTTTAAACATCAGACAGCAGTGAGTGAAACAAATGCATGCAACCCTTCACGGGAAGTCATTATTCATTTGTGGTGCTCATGTGAAGTAATAATAGAAAAAAGTCCAGTGACCATGACATGGACTTTGTGGTGCCTGTACACTCCCATTCAAAAAGGGACTTGCAGAACATGCAGGAAAGAAAATGAAACAAGCTATTTCAGGATAAGAAAAGTTCCTTTTAAATTCTGAATAATTTAGTCTGAATTATTTAAATTGTTAAATGCTCTTTGACTGCAGAGAAATGATAGCTCTCACAGCTGGCTATTCAGACTAACCCGAACAGAAATGAGCAGTGACCTGTACAACCTACAACATCCTTTGCATTCCCTACTATAGTCTCAGGGCACATAGTATTCCAGGGTCAAAGACCTCCCTAGAAAGTCTGAATTAACCTGGCATCTTTAATCATGCAGTCAGTCTGGGGAGGAAGGCTACATGCTACCAAATCTTTTCCTCAACCACATGGCCTTCTAAAAATGAAATGTTCTAAATTCCCTAATCATGCTGCTCAAGAAAGATCACCTTCTGTCTTTTTAATGTGAGGATATTGCCAATTCTTTTTATCATTGCTGAGGTCTCTTGGGACAATCTCCTTCAGCCAATGATCCTTTTCAACCTGCCTACTCCTTCTATCAATGATAAGATCAAAGTCATCCACTTGAAAGAAAAATCTCTGGTATTTAATCGCTGTTTCCTTTTTCCTCATATGCCAATGTTCTAGCAAAAGTAAAAACTAAAATCCACATGTGCTCACCCATGTAGGCATTCAGTGGTGGCTGCACAAAGGTCATTGGCCCCAGCACAATATCCCAAATGGTTCATCAGAAAAAAATCTCACTACAGAACAGCTGTCACAAGCACAGAGTAAACAACTCGGTTATATCCGTTTGTAACATATAGTGAAGGGAGTACACTGATTCTGTAGCTATTAACAGACTCCCTCTCATTGTAGCCAAGCTTCAGTCATTCAGGTCTTGTCACTGCAGCAGTATGCCCACATTGGTGTAAGACAACAGTGTGAAAATCACTGCACTTGTGTGAAAGAGACTTAAAGTTTCAGGGCATTCTTGACTACTTAGTGTGTTCCAGATTTTGTGGAGCAATGCAGTTATCCTCCTCCAGAAAAGTAATAAATATCAGATCCTGGATAGATCAACATATCTGTCCCTCCTTCCAGCAAGTGGGAAAAGGTTCTTTAATCTACCTTACAAAAAGGATGGAAGTTTAGAGGGAGTCATTCATATTCTCACTGGCAATTCTCAACTACCATAGGAAGAGGAAGCTAGAAAGACAACAATGAAAAATGCTGGCTCCTTTCCTGAAAAGAAATAAACATACTGAAAAGGGTGCAGGTCATCATTGTCTCACCAAACCAACAGAGAGCTCAAAAAACTCTTACTGAAGGTGATTCTTAGAGAAAGTACACATCATGAAAGCCACTTTTGTATGAAATATCTGAAAATACCAACAGCTGTCTGTTATAGCTGAGCATAGATCCACTTTCACCATATTTTATTTTATTTTTACATAAACAACTCATGTCTTGCTAGCAGAAAAAATTATGTTATGTAATGAATACTGTTTTAAGAGCAAATGCTTTCAAAGCATTGATTCTGCTGCAGTCATTATGGTAAAGGCCCATCAATGAAATGGCATTATGCCATTAACCAGGGGAGTCAGAGATGTTTACCTTTAGCTGGGAAATTATTTGCAAGTGAAAAAGTGAAAGTGCCTGTTTTCTATTCTATCATGATGATGCAGCTCGCAATAATTGCAATAAGAGGTCAAATTGGACCTGTGCTTTCTCCTGAACATCCATAGCAAGCCATTCAGTCAGAAAATCAGGGAAACACAATTTGGCTGTATATGGTACTAAGATAACATTGAAGAGGTAATATTTCCTTCCTTCAGCTTTTTCTCTTTTCTTCAGCTAATTTTTCCCAGTAGTAGAAAATGAAGTAGTTCAGAAAGCTAGATTATGCAGAAGAATTTGTCAGCTGTACACTGTGGTGAACATACTTAGTGAAACACATGGCTCCGTTCATTGCAAATGATGTTATTTATGTACAAACAGATTCAAGACCAGGGTGTAAAGCTGAGCCATAGGAGTGCATTGTGTTACTCACAGGAGTGGTATTTTCAAGAAGGTCTAATGAGGAGTACAACTCATTTGAAAGAAGCTTTGGCAACTCACTAGTGAAAAAGGAGCAGCTATGCTTCTGGCAAAAGATTAAACACTTACTTCTACTGACCTGGGAAACTGGGAAGTTCCAGCAAATGCAGGATCAGACCATTAAACAAATGGATTTCACAGCACTCACTGACAAGACTCCATAAACTACCTGCACTATTTGTAGGGATGTAAGCAAGACCGTGCCGTTTCACAGAACTTCTCTTGAAACTTCTCTTAAAATGCAGTTATTTGTAAGAACAATAAACACCCTAGAATAAGGTCAGGGAAAGGAAATATATTGTTTTCTTGCCCAATATGGCTGAAAGGACAGTGCTGTGATAAACCATTTCCAAAGTAAAGCATGCAAGGGAGTATTTGTTGTCATGATGAGTTTGTGAGTCTGAGCTCTAGTTTGTGCATATACTGCTATACATTGAGGCAATGAAAAAGAGCCCAAATTTGTCAGCAGTATGAAGGCCTGGGCAATGCTGCAAATATAACAAACCATGTTTTGAAATTAGTGTTAGAAGAAAGTCTGTGTTTCAGGGAGCCTGAAAACACCTTTGCTATTTGCACTTCTACCTAATATGGTGAAAAAAATAACAGATGAATGTCAGGCATGGTTTGTATGACAAGATTTACAGGGCCTGCCTCATATTACCTTTCAGAGAGGCAGCAAATAGTCCTTGCTGATCTGCAGTTAATCTTACACGACTGCCTCAGAAACCTACCAACACTAATAATAGACCCTGTGTGCTGCCGTTAGTAGGTTCATGCTGAAAGGCACCGAGGAGCACAGCCCAATGTTAAAGAAAGCATAAAGTAACTCTTTTGTTGGACAGACTGCGTCTTTTGGTTCATTAACCAACACCTCTCAGCAGCCACCAAGGAGGTGGCACAGAGACAGTACTACAAGAAAGTAAGTTTGTGGTTACCTGATAGATTACGACCCGGAATTTGTTTTTTCTTAGCATCTCCTGTTGCTTTGCTTCCACCTTCCGCACGCTGTTGTTCTGCCTCTCCACACGCGCCCGCACCTCCTTCATGGTGGAGCTGACTTTGCGGGTTTTCTCCAGTAACTTGTTCACAGTGAAGCCTGTATTGCCGTGAGCCTGGGCAAGCTTTAAAATGTCGATCTGTATGGTCTTGATGGCATTTTCCATCTCCCTGTGCCTTTCCTCTATCCGTTTCTGGCTCTCCTGCACGCTGTCGACAATGTTGGCCACTTTGTCCAGGACCGTCACAATCGTGTAAGCTGCATCTTGCTCTTCTTCCTCCTCGAGGACGCTGGAGAGACGATTTTGGTGTGTTCTGTCAGGCTCTGAGGGGATTTCACGGCGATCCATTTTGCCTGCCTTCAGCCAGGTCGAGGGGAGGCAAAGTTTCGGTGATCCTGCCAGAACGACTCTGGCGCTGTTGCAGGGAGCCAGGGCGACAGCTGGCTCCGGCGATGCTCAAAGTAGGGCGTGAAACGCCACTCCTGGAGCTTGGTCAAATACTTCTGACTACAAAATATCCACACATGATTGTTCAGATACTTTCAGCAACATGAAACCCCTAAAATTAGGAAGCAATATCTGGAAAGGAACATACGTTTAAAGGGTCACGCTTCTGTACCGATGAAGTTATTAGTGTTAATCCAGGAAAGTTAAGTAACTTACTAATTAAGCAGGAAAAAACTTGCATATTTTTAATGATCTACTTTTGTTTTTGTGTTACTGGAGTGCTTTCCTCCGAGGGAATTCAAAAAGCGGTCAGGAAAATTAGCACAGTTGGTTTTTTCCAGCAAAACAACTTCAGGTCTTCAGCTTGCTGCAATTACCCCATGGGGTAACAAATAAACACACTAAACCAGAGGCAATATAGTGAAAACGTTGTATTGTGACATGCTTTTCCAGTTCAAAATGTTGAAAGCATTTTTTTTTTATTGAACAAATTATTAAATCCTACATGCAAAATTTTGAAAGCCTAAGCTACATGTTAAAACAGCTGAAAACATCCTATTCACACTTTATCTCGGGATCTTTCAAACGACAACTAACAGTCTATTAATATAACTATGACCAGCAGACTAATTTGGATGGACTTCTTTAGCTCTTGAAAATACTCTATACAAGAGCACTAGTAATTCATTCACTTTTATTGTTTTATTTTAATCACAAACACTATACAATCTGTATTGTAGGTGTTAAAACATGTATTTTCCTTAAAAAAGTTTAAGAAGTATTAAAACAGCTTTAACAGTGTTAAAGTAGGCTTTATTCCAATTATTCGTGTTCAATTATTCAACACCAATTTTTACAATACCTAAATCTACGAAGACCTACTTCTTTTGGACCTGTGCCATCTGTTCTACCAGGTAGCCTCCCAAATTATGAAATTTATAATTTTCCTCTTTAAAAATAAATTGTTGGAATTATTTCTGAAGATGGCAGTGCTTAGACCCAGCCCACACATTTTATAAATATGTTACAACTACACACAGCACACAGCTTCACAGTTCATGCGATAGGCAGTGTCTAAAAAATCAGTTACTAACTTCCAAAAACATTTAAATATCTACGGTATTTAAACACAGTGTTTTCTAGTTCCTCATAAGAAAAGTAAGCTGTAAACATTTTTACCTTTAGTTCATGCCTTGTTTGTTAGGTAATGTGGACTTTTTTTTGTTGGTTTGTTGGGGGTTTTTTTAAGTCTACAACCATTGGTGGAATAAATCTGTGTTCCCAAAAATATTACATTCCATGGATAAAGCACAAGTCTATTATATAACCATGTGATACAGATACAGAAAATGAACTACTGTATTCAAAAACATAAAAGTAAAGATACTAAAACAGTCCATAGCTGTTAGAGCTGATGCTTTCAGAATACAGACCAACATTGTTACACTAAAAATGTTCAAAAATAAGGCCTCTGAAATAAATATTTCCATTCTTTAAAAAAAGATATAATAAAAATGTACATCACATGGTCAATGTAGGTATAAAAAGCACTAAGTTAAACCATTCTGGATGATGTATCTGAAGTAAAATGGCCTAGGTTTTGCTTCTGCCGACGTCCTCTATTGTTTTTCGGGCATTTTCTGTTAGACAAACAAGAAAGAGAAATCAGAATGGAGGGCTGATTTTATATATGCCACATAAAATTAAGTCTAAAAATAACACATTGACTTAATTTTCTGTACTTAGCAATAGCAAGGAGTCTGTGAGCTGTGCTAACCAGGGGGATGCTCCTGCTGTTTGGTACTGGACTGTCACCTGGGCATGTCTGTAGAATCCCAGATCACTCAGAAGGGAGCTCTGCTTGAACTTGAGCCCAAAACCAGCAAGGTGCTACATCACTGAGCCTTGATCCAGCAAAATGCATTCCATCGGGAATAGCTGCATTAGCTTTCCTTTATACATATTTCATACTTAAACCCAGTGGATGGTTAAGCCTGGATCAATGAGCCTTTTGAAGTGCATGGACCTCCAGATGCTCTGCTGCTTGCGGCAGCCCATGAGACAGAGCCCACCCAGGAGTCTCTGTGAGGTGACTCAGGTGATCCCTTTCTTGGGGTCAGACATGCAACTAAGAAAGGATTCACAAAAGCCAGCAATTCTGAATGGGATGGGACTTACTCAGCCTGCCAGACAGAAGGCAATGCACAATGGAGCAGTCCTGCTGGGACGCAGCAAGACAGAAGTGACTGTGATCTGGGGATGGTTGTAGAGGGATGACATCAATTGCATGAGCCAAGTAACTTTTACATGTGCAGGTGGTGTTATATACATGTGCTTATCCTTTACAAGGTTCAGACTAGAAGGTATATATGGAAGGAGGCCTATATTATTCATTCATAGGGGTGCCACTCTACATCACAGAGCTTGGTGACAAGCAAGACATCCATGCACTGATGCAGTAGCAGAAAGTTTTACGGCCCAATGTAAGCAGAGCTGAAAAAGTGAAGGACAAGTTGGAGAGGAAAAAGCAAAGTGTGGCATGGATGCCCAAGTGCATGACTTAAATATTTCATGCATCTATAGGGTAACTAAGTAATCCTTAATCTATCCCAGACCCCTTAGTCCTCATTTGGTTCAAGTCCTTGATAAGCAAACTGAATTCCCTGTCATCAAAAAGAATCCAAGGCTTCATCTGAGTTTTTATATCGTGTGAGCATTTGAGACAGCCCAGAAACCTGAACTCTATGCTTGTGCATCTTTACATTGCTTAAAATAGATTCCTATGGAGAGTGTCTAAGAACAGGCCTAGTTGCACAATAATTTTCAGAAAATATATACAGTGTGAGGGATACTTCTTTCTCTGTGTAGCACCATTTACAGTGGTATTGCAGGGAACAGCATCTTGTTAATGTCTCTGGTTTCACTAGGTGGTAGCTGAGGATCCTAGCTTCTATAAGATACCAGCAATGTTTCAATAACTGCAGTGAAGGTCTAACACAGTAGCTGACCTTTTGGATGCATTTCAAGGCTAATCTGTTCTGCTGTGTATTTGGTCAGGACATTCAGAGTGGTTGCTGATGATTTCTGAATTTAAACAAATCTGACTTTTGTGACCAAAAAAACCCAAAAGGGGAGACAGGATGTTATATAATCCTTCTGCTTCAGTCATTAGGTAGTTTTTATGTGGGTATCGTAGGGCATATATTAAAGCAAATAAAATGTTAGGTGCAAAATATTTAAACACAAAAAACGTACATCCATACAGCGCGCAATTTTTCACTGTTTTTGTCTTTACCTACCTTGTTATGCACATGACAATTGCAACTATAATAGCAATCTGTACAGCTCCAATTATTGCTGCAATAAGGACATGCGTAAGCTTTTGCCTACTTGGGACAACATAAAGAATACTAAAGTCTGTCTTTTCACAGTGCTGTCCAGTATATCCTGATTCACATCTGAAAAAGAAAAGGAATATTTTATGGAATCTGTAATTTGACAAAAGCCCAGTCATTTTGCAGATGAAATAAGAAATCCAAGGTGACTCCAGAGAGAGCCGAAGAGAGAGAGAAAGAGCTGAGAGAAGAGCTGGTGAGGAGGTGGAGGTGTGGCAACATTTGGGTTGTGGAATGGTTTGGATTCCTGTGGCAAGACACAAAGCAAAAAGATATGCTCTACTTTTTCTGGATAGTGGCCCTCTGAAAACACACCAGCATGGTGAAGGCCCTGATTTGTCAAAAGAAATATATGTGGTCATTATTATATTGGCACAATATTTAGCAATAGTGAAGTGACTAAGGTTAAACAAGCAGACAAGGCTAAATGGAACCCAAAGAAGCATGCTCATGAAACACAAAGGGAGCATGCTCATTCAGCTCCACTGCCAATATGGGAGAGAAGTGACAAAGAGGAAGAGAAACCTTGAAACATGGGGAGAAAGTACGATTCCTTTTTCATGCTGCATTCTATAGAAGTGGAATCTTGCAAAATCTATTGGACAAGACCAGCACTAAACACCCTCCTGCCTTGTAACCGAGCCAGAATTTGATGGAGGTTGGGTTAGAAAACCTTATGGTTCACAACTGTTCAAGTGAAAGTTCATGAAGAATCAAAAAAAATGGTCAGAGATGGGGGAGAAGTGACTGGAGACAGATGAGAAGCAGCTGCTCTAAATGATACCTTTCCTGAGCAAGGCAACAGTTAGCTCAATGACAGACTGAGCAGAGGCTGTTCCTGATCACTGACATGTGTTCAGGCAATGTGAGACACACCAGTGGAAACAGGCTCTGGAGCAATTAATGTCTCAAGGCAAAATAGGCTGAAGCACAACAAGAAAAGGCAAGAGCCACCCACAACACTGAGATGAGGCCTGCGGAATCAAAGGCCACCACTTACAACCCTGAGCAAGTTCCTTGTACAGCTGTCCTTTAGAACTGACTAATGTGAATGCATCATTATGGACAACTGAATAATACAATTGGCCTCCAGCTCTACAGTAGAAAGCTGGAAAAGAAATACTCACATGCAGGCAGAGAAACAACCATTTTGTAAACTGGATCTGACAAGCCAAAGTGCAACACAAAATCAGACTCATCCTTCAAAAGCTTTGTGCTAGGGTAGGAATTCTGTTTGGAGCAACAAAATAATTACACCTAAGACCTTTCCACAACTGCTAATGCAACTCCTAATCCCCCTCTGCATGCAGGGATAATTATTGTGGTTTACATGGTCATAATCTTGTGACTCTACTTTCTCCAGCCATGAGCTGCTGTGTAAGGAGTTTTGGTTCCAGTAAGAATCGTTAAAGAAAAACCCCCATGTACTGTAAGCATGCTTGGTGGTACCTAGGAAGGGAATAGAGAGAAAACTGTATAGGCACTCAAGAAGAATGAGGACAGGGAACACTATAATCACACAAAAAGAGACAAACAGGAAGAGGTCTCCTTGCTAGTCAAGAGGACTGAATTCTTACTGTTACTTCGCTTTTGTTTTCATTAAAGAAGTTAACAGTTGAAGTGTGATCAATGTGAGAACTGCTTCAATGCAGTGGAGGCAAAACAAAGCAGAAGAGGCACATGTAATTCTAGGACGTTTCCTCAGAAACACTGAAGTGACAAGAAATTATTTCCAAGAAATACTGAATGGAGATTCAGGAGAAGTGCTTGTATTAAGAATGACCCTGTGGTAGGATGAAGTAATAGGCACTAGTTTAAGCTACCTTACACTAGCAGAACAGATTTCAAAGCATTCTGCTGCATTAATATATAACACGATAATATAGCACTGGTATAATAGCAAGATCAATAGAGGTCAGCAAAGATTTATCAAAATAGGATGAACATTCAATTAATTGAGTTAGCATAAAGAAGACTACATTTCTTTGTAATGGGTTGAACTGTGCCTTCCTGATGCAGCCTGCCATAAGGACAGGGCAGAGCTGTGCTGCACAAGGCAGGCACCAGGAGATACACCAGATCTCAGCTATGCAAAGGCTACTAAACTCAATACTATGCAAGTGACTGCTTACAAAACCTTCCTCCCACCTGCCTGCTCACAGTCCTGGAGGGCTGCTGTACAATAAACAAGGAGATTCATTGTCCCCAGCGAAAGCCAAAGTCAGAATTTGCTCTGTGCAGGTATTTTCTGCAGTTTTGTAAGTCATTTGATACATATATCACTATCAGGAAATGAGGACCAAATTAAACAATGTATATGCTAGATGTGTACAAGAATCCAAAGCACCTGAAAATAACAATCTGTCCCTAGCATTCATCCTTATATTCCCCTTGCCAGAGAAAGAGAAACTTTTTTTCTCTCATGGAAGTACATGATTACTATGGTGGATTGATGTCTGATATAAACCATTTGTTTCCTTAATAACTCTGCTCCAGTAGGAAACATGCATAAAGTATGAGACCATCAGTATTTTAATAGCCAAGAAAAATCCAGAAGAGATCTGATACTCAAGGTTAAGAACTGATAGTCACAAATTCTTGACTGGGACCACATGAGGTTTGTTGGGCCAGGCCCAGTGCTGAGATACTATTCAGGCTGTTTAAATACATAGCTGAAGGTAATAACAGTAAATGTAATTATAAAATAGAATTTAAAGGGATGGTACATTAATTAAGTTCATATAAACATTTCCTATAGGTAATTACTAGAGTAATAATAAATATGTAAATGACTGAATATAAAATTGAATCATAAATTAATAAGTTACTATAAACTTAGCACCTTCCAGAAAAAATATTCTGAGAAATAAAAAATCAGTTCATTCAGACAGGAATGTTTTCCTTGAAATATGTCTACTTTGAATATTTTGATGACAAATTAATTATAAATGTTGTTAAATCTAGTTCTAGATCAAAAGAATACTGTAATCAGATAGTGCTGCCTAATGGCCCATCAAGATGATGCTTCCCAAGAGAAGCAAAGCCATGTTGAGTTACCTTGGTTTCAGCCAAAGAAAAGAGAGAAACAAATCAGTCCTATTGGAAAGGTGAAAATAAACAAGAAAGGGTCTTTGATGGAAAAAGAAATAACATAAACTTTCAAATGCTTAAATTGACAACCAAACTGGCTCTGCCTTTTGGGCTTCCAGCTCTCTGATCGGTCTGGAAACTCTTAAATCTTGACAGTGCAAAAAACCACTAAATATCCTCAATCAATAAAGATCAAGGGAGAAAATGTGATAGTATCTAATAGATTTACAGCTGAAATTTCCAAAGCAAAGGAAAGCAAAGAGTTATAGCATCTTCAGCCACATTAATCTGAAAATACAAGCTTGCAAGATAAAAGTTCAGGAATGAAAACACTTACTGAGTAGGATACTACATCTTATTATGAAAAAGTGGTCTTCTTCTATAAACAGCTCTTAAGATTAATTTTATTTTTGGAGGAAAACAAAGACATGGAATTTGATTGGTGAAATGTAAAGTAAGGAATTATCTGGGAGCTAAGGAACATACAGATACCCTGGGAAACAGTGAATACCTTAATACTGAGTGTATTAATATTGAGCTGCTAGATTATACTGTAGACAAAAAGTGTGGGGAAAAGAATATTTTGCAATTTTATATTCTCTAGATGAAGCCTATTATTGTGAAAAAAGGGCAATAAATCTTAAAAATAAAATACTGATACTCTACAGAGTTTATGATGGGAGCAATAAAATGTAAGATAGTATAAGAACAGACTGAGAGGTCAATGGGAAAAGCACAGACATACAGATAAGCCATGCAAGGCAAAGGCCTTTTTAATGCATTTTTGTTTTGTTTTTTTTTTCTCTAGATAGGACTTATCATCTGAATATAAGAAAACAACACTGAGGCCACACTCCTCATAGGGATTCAGCTTCTGAACTACCTGACTGACTGAGCCTCTCCCCTGAGCACTATCTCCCTCATGGCTGGAGCACCTGGGTGCTGCCCATAGCACAGGGATACACCTCCTGTGTCACTGCTTAGATAACTGCAAACTGCTATGTCCTGTAGTTATGTCTAGAGAGCATTTTGATCAAGCTTTACAGCAATTTCAAGCACATTTTAGAGGCATCCAAGACTTACCGGCAGGAAGCTTTCTGAGTGGAATAAATGAATTCACATTTTCCATGTATACAGTAGCCATTGAAGCTTTCTGAACAAGGTATGTGGTTTCCAATGTAAATGTCTTCTCTTTGATCACTGGCATCTTGAAGAGAAATATACATGAATAATCATACATGGCTCTATGATACTAGTTTAAAAAACTCAACCAAGAATAGCATATCCTTAAAAACTTCTAGTGAATAGAGGAATGCAGAATAATAAAGCAGAAGCTTAAGGGTGAAGTTTCAGAGGCACCTACAGAGATTTACTAGAATGTCCTGCACTGAAAAATGTTCCTCAGAGGCTTCCAAATATGCCTCTCATAACAGGTTTTTCAAAAGGAGAAAAGTGTGCGTGACTGGAAAAAAAAGCCAATGCAGGAAGATCAACAGAAGCTTTGTCCAGGGCACTGGGGCAAAAAGCTAATACATAGATACAGAGAGCTCTCTCCCATGTGTAAACACAGGAAAAAATCCCCTCTAAAAAAGCTTAGAAAGAAGCCAAACCACATTTTATGATTACTGGGTAGAAAACCACTCGATAAAGCTCAGATCTGGCTGGTACCCCTGGTTGTTAACGCTGAAATCAAACACACTTCGATAGTGGTCTTCCTCAGAGAAATACTTTTATGGTGAGAGAACTTAAAAGTATCAAAATGAGCTTAAAATACCAATTCCTTTGAGAAATGTGCTGGTTTTGGCTGGGATGGAGTTAACTTCCTTCATAGCAGCTCATATGGTGGTGTGTTTTAGATTTTTGGCTGAAATTGTACTGGTAACACACCACTGTTTTGGCTGTTGCTGAAGGTGCTTGCACAGCATCAAGGTGTTCTCTGCTTCTTACCCCACTTCTCCCCTCAGTGAGGAGGCTGGGGGTGGGCACGAGCCTGGGAGGGGACACAGCCAGGACAGCTGATCCCAACTGACTGCAGGGATATTCCATACCACATGACATCATGCTCAGCATTAAAAACCTGGAGTTTTGGTATTTCCAAGGTGGCAGTCTTTCAGAGGCTGGCTGGGCATCAGCCTGCTGGTGGGATACTGTGAGTGATGGCTTGTGCATCACTTGGGGTTTTTCTCTTTTTTTGCTCCTTCTTAAACTGCTTTTACCTTAACCAATAAATTTCCTCATATTTGCTTTTCTGATTCTCTCCTCCATCATCCTGGGGGATGGTGGGGTAGAGCAAGCTGGTGGGCACTCAATTGCTGTCCTGGTCAGTTCAGTACAGTCCCTTCTGCCTCAACATCTTTCATGCTTCTGTCATGTTACCAAAACTATCCAATGCTGTGTACATTTTCAAACATTTTTTTCGCCCAATTTTTTTTCTGTAAAAACATCCTAAGCACAAAAGCTGGTATTTCATTATGAACTTCTCTAAAGAGCAGGGATCTTAAGATGTGAGCATAATTATGGAATTATGTCCATTTCCATGGCAATAGACTATAGTATCACAAATAAAAGACTATAATGAACTGCAGGTGCAAAGGAAGAGGGATTGTGAAGAAGAAATTTTTCATACAATTGCAGATATTTAAAATAATATCAGCAAGAAGAGAATGTAATTATGCAAGACAAAAAAAGGCATGTTGCTGGTTTAGGTTTTTCCTGACTGTCTTCTGGAATATTTTCTAATTTGTTTCAGGAGAAAGAAAATACAACATCTACTAGAGGTCTTAGATATAAGGAATCCTGTTGATTCAGGCTATGTTTTGAAGATACAGAAGACTTGATAAAAGGGAAGAACATCACTTAATACTGGAAATATGTCCACCACTGCCCTGATGGAATAGACTATGTTGTGGCATGCTTAAGAGAAAAAGTGGGGATATCTCATCCCAGAACTTTCACCTCCCTCCTCCTCCAAACAGTTATTTACTGTCACATCTGGTCCCAAGCAAAGGCTTGTAATAAGCTACAGACAATTAAATTAGTCTGTTCAGAGAGCTGCACCATATCTGGTTTCAATATATTTACTGATATAGAATATGTGGCCCAGTGAAAGACTGAAAGATGCATCTCCTGAGTGGCCAGGTAGCCACAGCCACCCAGGTCAGAGGCAAAACTGGTATTTAATCAAAAAGATGTTGTTAAATGCAAGAGATGATTTCTAGAGTAAAACAGACATTTACCTCCCTATCGATGGGAAACCATTTTTAACCTCAGAGACTTGCTAGACTGCTTCAGAGCTTCAAAGTGAAAGATTTAACTGGTGTAGGAGCCTTGAAATAGTGACTAGATATAGGAGTTCAAATACTTCACCAGAAGGAAGAGTCATGCATGAAAACTGAAACCCTGATGCTCATCTTGGTACAACAAAACCAGCAAGCCAGCTGAATCTGGGAAGAGAGACCTTTCTGATGTAACTTTAGGTAGCCACTTGCACTGCAGAAGAAGGAGACTGTCATGGTTCTAGAGACTAAAAGGTATTATACATTCAAAGAACAGGGTTTAACGAGAGTAACTCATAGGAACTGAAAGCAAAAGCAAAGAGATAGGAGTGTGCACTGCTTTCTTATCCTGGAAGCAGAAAAGTAATTCAAAGTAGTTCACTTCAGGATCTCACTATCTAAAAAGACCTGACTAGTGCATTAAAAATTTTCAAAACAGCCTTTTTCTTTTTCATCAGAGCATACTCCCTCCATGCACACCATTTGCTGAATGTTAGACCACACAAGCTATACACATTAATAATAATAATTATATACAATGGTTTTTCCACTAACTAGATTTCAGGGGCAATTTACATGCAATGAATAAAAGGCTGTTACTTCTTTGGAATAGGAACCAAAAGTGGCGTTTCATTACATCACATAATAAGATGTATATTCCATTTGGTGCCTTTTATACTTTCCTAATGTAAGTGAAAATTGACATTAAATCATTTCAACCGGTACATCATATGCAGCGAAAATAAGAGAATTTGTGAAGAGAGAAAATTATATGAAGCTTTTTGGCACTGAATGACTTTTCAAGAAGAACACAAGGAATGTTGAAAGCTGTGGTGGTATGGCTTTACTCTGTGAGGGAGTGCAAAACAAGTATGACAGAAAAAATTAATGACCAGAGCTAACAGAAAAGATACCAACTCCTCGCAACAAAACATGCGTTAAGACCAACATCAAGGAAGAAGAGCAGTGAGATATGTTCATTAGTGATTCCTTCCTATGCAGAATGGAAGCACCCATTTGCAGATTGGACTCTCTTTTCAGGGAGGTTTGCTGCCTCCCTGGGGCCCAAATTAGGGATTTCACCACAAGACTGAAGAGGTTATTACAACCTTCAGACTACTATCCCCACCCACTCTTTCATGTGACTACTAGTGAACGAAAAGTCTGAGGTCAATCAAAGGATATTTCAGAAGCCTTGGGGACAATGCTAAAAATGTGGGACTCTACTCTTCGTGGAGCTCAAGAGGAAAGAGAATTTGTATGATAATGGAAGCAAGGTCAGACTTCACAGGAAGAGTACAGAGCTGCAGTTTGTATATGCAGGGAAAAAAACACAAAAGGCCAAAGCTCATTTAGAGTTGAATCTGGCCAATGTTGTGTAAGATAACAAGAAGGGCTTTTTAAAGTGTGCTAATAGCAAGAGGAGGTCTAAAGAAAGCACTGGACCGATACTCAAGTGGATGGTCATCTGACTAATAGGGATGAACAAAAAGCTGAGGCATTAAAAGTTATTAAACATAAGGTAAGTTTCATATAGGTAAAACATTTTCAACCAATGTGATTCAGCATATTAGTTTACCGAAAACATTTTAAAATAACGTAACAAATACAGAATCTGCCATTTTTTTCAGAAGTCAACAGAAAAGATGGGGTCATGGGAGGGAAGCTGATGTTATGTTATTTCATCAAGAATGTCACAGCTTAGTGTCTTCCAGTAAAGTCATTTTCACAGCACTTGGAGGGAGTCTAATCCTGTGGCCAATGCACACGGTGGTGAGCAGCTGGGCATCTTAAAGGAATACAGCAGGCAAAACTCAAATCACATGCATCTTGCCAGCCTTGCAATGCGCTCTAAGAAAGAAGCTGTTCACAGGTCTGTCTCAGTTACAGAAATCAAAGCTGTAAGGCAGACAAGAAAGGACTTGCATGCTCTATTTTCTCCTCTTGTGAAGCCATAACCAAATAGCACAAAGTCAGCACAGTACCTTTCACCTCTGGCCGATACTGCATGCCATCATCTTTCTTTCCAACTGCATTTGTGTCATCTGTTTCTAGGTAATAAATATATGCATGGTTAGCAATTATGAAAGGGTTTTTTTCCAGACCACTACATGTACGTAGCCATTGAGAAGCCATAAATATTCAAAGAATTATTTTTAAGTGCAGTAAATGTGGACACATTCCAACATTGCTCCTCCCATACAAGCAGGTTGGTAGCACAACTGGTCAATAACCCTGGCACCCAGACAAACACATGGCGCATCTCAATTGTAGGCTTTGAACCAAAAACTTGTCCGTGGTATGCACCTAGGTTATTTTGGGGACAGTCTGTTTTGGTGTTGGAACTGTTCAAGTTACAGTTCTAGATGCAACTGGAAAAGAGATGGTGGAAAGCTGTTATTCCCACGAGGAAGTCCTAATTGCAAGCTCCCAAAAAGAGTCATACACATGATTAGCTACAAGGCAGTAGACAGAGGGTTTCAGTGGACCATTCCAACACTGGAAAAGGAAATAACAGAATCACTTGGATTGGAAAAAGACCCTTAAAAAAAACAGATCAATAGTTCTGCAATCAGGGCCCAACTTGAGTCACCTTGGAAGCAGATTGTACAGCCCACAGCAGCAAGAGGGAACATTTCCCACACACCCATATTCCTTTGGCTCTGCTACTTCTTACCATCCCCTCACGTAAGAACCGTTGGATTATTGCTGAGATTTTCCTAAGAGCTTATTTTTGTCTTTCCAGGTAACAACAGCCAAAGAAAGGTAATGTAAACACAGCACATATGTATGTAGTGTAAACATACCTCTGTGTATGTTTACACTCAAAACTGCAGATGGGGAGTTCACTGATAACCGGATCAGTGACTTTGGCTCAAATATGGAAAAGGGAAAGTTCTACCAAGCCCACTTATGTCAAAACTTACATTTAGCAGAAAACCAAAATTAAGCCTACCTGAGCAGTGTCCAAGATGCCTGATGTCGATCTGCTCTTGCCTCAGACATGATGCTTCTCTAACAAAGCATGGATTGTTATAGGAACTTCCATCAGAAGCACATACAGGATTAAAACTGTATCCACTGCAGTCTATATTACATACACACCTGTTAAATGAAACATACAGCAAAACAAAATTGACATCCAGCAAACAAAAATTAAGTCATGTTGAAACCTGAGTAAACACTAGCTCATGCACCTATGCCAGGAAAGAAGAGTGTGCTGCATGAGGATGCTGAAGGATTCGCTGACGTCTCAGACTTCAAAGCAGACTGTACAAAACTATAAATAGGTGCTTCAATGTGCTTGTTTAATAATGTATTATTGTTCCTTGTAGTTCTACTATGATACCAGTTTCATGGAATAACACCTGAAAATTGTTAACACATTGCTAGGAAGATTTACTACATTAATATAGCAGTTTGTAGTGTCTGTCCTCTACTGTGAAAAAAATGAGAATATTCTGCTTTTTGGGGAGGGTGTCAAGAGGGAAAACAAAAAGGAAAGGAGTCCCATTTCTGTTTAGCAGTAAAAGGAGTTTTTCTACTTCAGAAGCTCTACAGATTCAATGTGCTTGGTTAACTGTGTCATTCATAGCTTTGAAAGTTAACAGTGTGTCTATTATGTTGTATTTAGAACAGCTTTATGTGATCTGAATTATTTCATATTGCATCCAATTGACACTTTGGTTGATTTAGACAGCATTTTCCATATAATTTGCAACTAGGGACTATAAAATTAAAGTGGGAAAAATGAAGACCTAGCATGTAGCTGGATCCCAACCACAAAAATGTAGGACAGTCAGGGACATAGATAGGGCCATGACTTACCTGGTTATGGTTAGATAGTTTTGCAGCCCCCCTAAAAGTCCTGAATTTTTACATGAGTGAATGGCACAGGAAAATTTTCCAGTTTTTTAAGCACCACAGCCCTTGTTTATTTTAAATCAATATTTTGCTTTGCAACTGAACCTCTATTTTTGAATGAAAGTTTCTGTGTATGTTTCACTTTGCTCTGCAAGCTCCTCTCCACCTCTGGACTGGGGAAAGTAAAGAGTGTGGCTGCAGAATGAGGGGGAGTATGAGGGGGGCACCATGCCCAGCTTTCAGTTGAGCTCCTTCTGATGCCCTGAGAGTGAGTAGAGACACTCTGCGTTGTCTGATGTGGCAGTGGGAACAAGGTCCTCTCCTTGCCAGAAAGCTCAACACAGAGGGCACATGGTCTGACTACCAGGAGCTGCCACTAGCTTCATCTTGATTCATTCTTGTAAGTCACAGGGTGGGGAAAAATGTCCAAGCTACCAAACTGCCAGGTTTTTAATGTTCTTTCCCACTGTTCCAGAGAAAATTAAACTATTAAACACACGTATGCATGCCTGAAGCCAGTAACAAATCTGAACCCAATTCCATACTGCAGAAACACTGAAGACAGAGTACTTTTCTTCCTCTTTTTCCATGAACACAGTTTGTTGCTTAATTTAGATATGCTAATTTCACCTGTAATATTTCATGCCTGTGAACTTCAGATCGTTGCTAGACAGAAGGACATCTCTACTACAAACAGGGTTTTAACTGCACCTATTGATAGTGAAAAATTGCCCCAGTAATGAGTCTCTACACATCTTAGGGACCCACCTCCAAGTACTAACGAAGGCACTAAATATCAATATGATGAACATATGATAACTTTTCTTACTAGAAATGGTAATGGTTGTAAACCTTAGACCCAGGATGTAAGTACTATTTTGTTTACATGCTCCCACATGATTTTAAGCCTAATAAGGGGCTTATTAGGATTTACTATATACAAATAAAGGGTTCATGGCTCAGCAGTTGTGCATATTTATTAACACAAATGAGCAGAAAGCTAGTCCTAATTTGCATGACACTGGCTATGTGCTTACAGATAACTTTGCTCAGCCTTAGCACTCAGGAAACACCACTGCCTGGGAGCACCCATCCTCATCACAGTGATTTGTATATGCATCTCCAGACTAGTTCCATCTGTGTTTCTATGTCCAAACAGATCTAAATCTGTCTGCAGTCACCATCCAAGGTCTGTAGCATCATAATTGCTCTGGTGTTTTGTCATTCCTGGTGACAAATAAGGTGAGTTTTAAAAACAATTCTTTTTTTTTCTTCCTCATGGTGACATTACAGGCTGGAAACTGCTTACATTTTCATGCTTTGCTGTGTTTAGATTTAACATCTAATGTAAAATGCTTGCTTTCTTAGCATTGTCAAATGCTTGTTTTAGAGGTAGTTGTGAATTACTGACCGCGTTTTTCTGATAAATACTCTCAGTCTTAGCTCTAACCATCTCTTCAGTGTGCAAAAATTTCAAACATAGATTCCCCCAACATGCATCTAAATATCTGCCTGGTGCCATTAGCTACTTCTTCACCTATGATCGTGATGACAAATGGTATCTCTGGCCTTCCCCTGGCCATTTAGTTAGTGGTTACTCAACAGAGCTGTGTGGCATGTAAAAGCAGGTGGTTTATGCACCCTGTGGGGTAATAAACAGTTGAACTGGACTGATGTACTTAAAAAAACTTGAAACTATTATTCCACTTAAAACCACGAAGCCTTTCATAGGGCTGAAAGGCAATAAGTTAAGGTGAGGACATGGCTTTGGTGCAATGCTCTGAAGGGTGAAGGGCTTTCACAGATGCAGCAGGTGGCAAAGTGGGAGCCAGGAGCACATGTTAGAAACCTGCACCTGTCAGAGAGTTTGTGTAGGGTGCAGTGAAGTTGTCCTTGCTCATAGAATTTGCACTAGACCAAAAATACAGCCAGGACTGTGGGAAGTGCCAAATTGTGAGATGGGAGCAGTGACATATGGGGAGTGCTGCTCTTGACAGAAAACATGAAAAGAATGTTGTTTATAACTGCTCAGTGTTTGTGAAGGAAGGTAAAACCGTGGGAGAGCAAGTTGCTGCTCTGATGCTGCACATCAAACACATCGAAACTGGAGCCTGAGTCCCTGCGAGAGTACTGGAGCACCAAAGACTGAAACAAAACAGCAGCTCAGTAAAGAACAGGAAGACTTGCAAACAAACCCACTATGAAATACTGAAAATATGTTACATCCTGAAGACACAGAGCTGCAAAGGGCAGACAGTAGCTCGATACTGAGATGACAGAAAATCCAACTGCCTGAGGGGAGCCAACTCCCCTCACCAGAGAGTTTGAGCGCTAAAGCCAAGCATAAGTCAAAGCTCAAGGCTACCAAGCACAGTCCACGGGACTGAACCATCCCAGAGACCATACAAGCAGTACACAAAGTATGTGAGAAGACACAGCAGGCAATGTTAATAAGCTAAAAGTGTGGTCTCAAAGGGCAGGAATCTTATCAGAGGCTTTCGCAGGCAGGAGAAACTGTGGGAGGCACCGTGGACTGTGGTCTTTGTTTTTCTTCACAACTAAGACTGAAACTGAACAAAAAATTAAAGTCCCATTTTGTAATTTTTTCCCTGTCAAGTCTCTTTTATGTATGGAGGAAGCACAAAGAGAGCAGAGGAGAATGCAGTGAGCTGCTCATGAAGGGAGGGCAGGAAAACCTGAGATCATGAATGGGGAGCAGGGACATTTGGGAGGAGCAGAAGAGGGGAACACAGAAAGAGAAAGATTAGACCTTAACTGTAAAATTCTTAATATCCCACCTTTTAAACACCAATTCTCACTTCTGCATTAGCTCCCACCAGCACAGTGGTCCATGACAGCAGTGCCACATGTAGCTCCCTGAGCTTGGCTGTGCAGTTACAGACACTTTCCAGCACGACTTGGGCTGATGGACTGATGAATGGCAGTCTGGCCATGAGGCTGGACTCCTCCAGCCACCAGCCTGCTACAGGCACTAGCCTGAAAACTGAGCTTCAGGAGAAAAGGGATGCAAAGGCTTTGATTGTATTTCTAAATTCATATACCACACTTCAAAATATTAAGCTATACGATTAGAGATGTGACTGATCTGGAATCAATAAAGTTTTAAAAAAGAATGAAATAGAATAGTACCCATCATACAACAGTATTTATAATAACAGAAAACAACTCAGATATAGAATCTTTGTCTCTTATGTGATAAATTAACCATCTAGAAACTCTGAAACACTACTATGTTGACCCCTGGTCTGAGATAGCTAACACAATCCAATGAGAAGACTGAATGTGATGATGATAGTCAAAAACAACTACAGAAAAAGATCTCGTATTTAAGCTTCTATTGTGGAAAACCTGAGGTTCAAACCCAGGTCTGAGTTACTTCCATGCTGGAAGCAGACCAGGAAGGGAACAATCATAGCTTCAGTGAGCAGCCAGCCTGACTCCTGGAGTAACATGTGAGAAGTCTCTGGGGAAGGCAGTGCAGAAGCTTTAGCCCTGTCTCTCAGGCAAACGCCACTCTGACAGGTAAGTTTATTCCATGGGAGTGACCCCACAAGGGAATGAGGAAGGATCTTAGGAAAGAAAACCTGGAATCACTCAAATTTTCACAAAAAAGAAAAGTAATTATTTTGAAAGCTTGCAAACAAAAATATCATAGTACTTTTAAACATAGAATTGTTAAGGTTGGAAAAGACCTTTAACATCATCAAGTCCAACCATCAACTTAGCATGTTCACCATTCAACCATGTCTGCAAGTGTCATATCTACACATTTTTTGAACACTTCCAGGGATGGTCACTCCATCACTTCCCTGGGCAGTCTGTTCCAATGCTTTACAATGCTTTCTGTGAAAAAAAAATTCCTAATATCTAACCTAAACCTCCTCTGAAGCAACTTGAGACTATTTCCTCTCAGCCTATTACTTGTTACCTGGAAGAAGAGATCTACCCCTGCTTGACTACAACCTCCTGTCAGTTAGTTGTAGAGAGTAATAAGATCTCCCCCAAGCCTCCTTTTCTCCAGGTTAAACCCCAGCTCCCTCAGCTGCTTCTCATCAGACTTGTGCTTCATCACCTCAGACTTTCACCAACTCCACTGTCCTTCACAGGACACACTCCAACACCTCAATGTCCTTCTTGTCGTGAGGGGCTCAAAACTGAACACAGGATTTGAGGCACAGCATCATCAGTGCCAAATACAGAGGGGCAATCACTTCTTTGGA